CGTTTGGAATTATGGTCTGTGTGTCTACTTGTAATGGTGTGTGCGTGGTACTGTTGTGGCGTGTGCGTTTTGGTGAATTGGATGTGTAAAATGTTTTTCCTGAAATTCGAGATCCAAGGAGCTAAGTTATTATTATTGGGGATATGGTTGAATGCATTGACCGTATATGGAATAAAATTATTGAATAGGTAGAACTATGGGGGTTCTGTGCGTTTTTAATTATGGAGTGTGCGTATTCATGTAGTGGTTTGTGTGTGTCGTGGATTCGGTTAGTGCGGGTTAGGTAAATTCATTTTGGTTGCAAATGTTTAATTGTCGGGCAATGGAGAAGCGTGTGTGTAATGATGATGGGGCGTGTGCATTTACGCGTTGTGGAGGCAATATCACATTGGAACCACACGAATTCTGATACTTCTATACAATGAGAAGAAAACCAACTTTTGGAGGCAATTGATTTAAACACATTACACATGTAATGAATTGTTGGCAAGAAAGCAACCATTTAATTAAATTGAGTCACTTCAGTTACATCTTAGTTGTGTGAAAGCCTAAATGTCATCCATTAACAACCAATATTCTAGGCAAAAATGGTGAAATGTACACCTTGGCAGATAAAAGAGATAAAAGAGTATTTGGCTCTCTGTTCATATGCAGGTCATGATCAATAGAGAAGAGCCAATCTTTCTGTATACAACTTCAAAAGCTTTGAATATCTCAGCCTCATAAAATTCATACTTCTTATAAGCCTCCATCTTCTTTTCCCAAGTCTCTTTGCTCATTGCCCTGAAGGCATGAACTACTATAAGAAACTTGTATCTCCATGGGTTAAACCCCATTCCCTGGAGGTTGCAAAATCATGAATTGCAGTGCAGGATGAATTCCAAACATGAATTGCAGTGCAGGTATAGGCAATACATTTAGCAAAACATTTAAATTGCATTTAAGCTTGTTGAATTCAACTTTAAAACTAAGACCCATTGTTGAAACCCACAGTTTATGTGAAGCCATAGCTCTATAACACCTTAACAACACAATCAAAACCACCAAAAAACAACTGGAATAAGGTGAGCAACATCACATACTATCCATTATTCTTCATTGTCCAATAACAGCAACATATTGATTTTCAGGTCCATAATTCAATACATAATCTAATCATAGGCAGCCATTTACAGCAAACAAGAACAACCCCAACAGGAAACAATCACAAAGACTCAATCTTTTCTTGCCTACACAAACACTCTTATAAGCAAAAAAAATTAAACACACTGGTAACACCACAGTAATAACAATGTCCTTGCTTTCCCATATTTGTGAATTTAATTCTATCCCTTAATTTCAAACAACGAAATTCAAAAACAATCCCGAATCAATGAGGCCCAACTACGCATAGACCAAGCAACCAAACATCCTAAGCCCCACAAACATTAAAAAATCAGGATTAACGAAAAACCGTTGTTGGACACTTGTCTTCTATGAATAACAATGACAACACACATAAATAAAACTTTTATGAATGAAAATAACAGTACAGACATGCATATATACATAGACATACAATTACCCATTGTAACCTCCCACAACTCTACACTACCTGCACATGACGATACGCTACTACGCACAAACTAATATAATTATCCACTCTAACCTCTTATACACTGCAAAACACCAAAAAAAAAAAACATGCACCAATAATCCAAAAAAAAAAAACACAAAATAACACTTCCGATTATAAAATTCATTTGCGATTTATATTGGGTGTACTTCTGTATACTGTTAACCAGACTGGTGTTAATGTACTCATCTTCATTTGCCATTTAAGTTTCTGATCTCTCTGCCTAAAGGTTTTCTCCTCTTATGAAGAAGATGTATTCATTAACTCTCTGTTCTTCATTAACTACTGTTATCCAGAGGAGATAAATGCTAGTAAAGAATGCAACCACATATGCAGACCTTCTTCTAAAAAAAAAAAAAAAAACAGAGGAAATTTTTTTAAAAAAAAAAACACAACAACAACACACAAATAAAATAAAATAAAAAGAAGAACACTCGCCGCCCCCAAACCACCGCCCATCCACAACCTCGCCGGACCCCAAAACACAAACACAAGACCACCACCACCACCCCCACCCCCCCATATACCAAACACCAACATACCGGAGACAAAACCCCCAACACACCCCGCATGCACAAACCTAATCACCAACCCCCAGACCCATACGAGAAAAAAACCCAGACTGCCAAACCCCAAAACCCTAACCCAGAAATCAAACAACCCCCAATGTCACTCTCACACCACCCCCAAACCTTGATTACAGAGGCGACGCAAAATACACGACCCCCCGGTGATAACCCCCCAGAAAAAACACACAACCAAGAACTTCGACCGCACAAGAAAACGAAAATTCAAAACCCCAAACCAATCATGTACGCTACGGCAACAAACCCACCAACATCCGTAAAAAACACCACAAAAACAAACAAAAAAAGAAATTTAAAAAAAAATAGAACTGCGATAGATAGTACCCGCACTAGACGAAGACAAGATACCCCTAAGTCGCTTGGACTGCCTTCTGCTACACCCATCCATGGAGACACTAACGCTGGGCAATCAATGCAATGCTTCGACCGGAGGGAGACCAATCGGCGAGAGAGATGCGCGGGAATACAGAGAGATGCGAGAGCAAAGCGTAGAGAAACAAAAAAACAACCTAAAAATAAAAACCCAAATCCTTAGTTACGCCGGAAATAAAGGCTAGGATAATAAAAGCATAAGCTAAATTACAAAACAGCCCCTCCTTACCTAAATAAACAGCGCAAGTGTGGAATAAACCAACACCATCCGAGCCCTTGATCAAAACAAATCAACGACCAGGGAGTATGCTCACGAGCTCGGCTGACTGGGGGATGTGCACCGGATTCAAAATCTATATATATATATATATATATATATATATATATATATATATATATATATATATATATATATATATATATATATATTCTATATTTAATGCATGGCATGAACAATGATTTAATTCGAATAATAAGATAAAAAAAATAGGCAAGCAAACATGCCAGTAGATATAAAAACTCACAGAAGGATGCCAAATACCCCGACCAATAACACCCTAAGGCATGTACTTATATATTACTTGTACCACAAGTGACCAGAGGCGGGCCTGCCATGGGGGCAGTGGGGGCAGCTGCCCCCACTGCCCAAAAGTTTACAGCCCCAAAACGACGTCGTTTTGGGGCTATTATATATATAAAAAAATTATTATTTTTTAATTCATTTACATTGTCGAGAAGAGGTGAAGAGTGAGAAGCGTCCCTCTTCTCTGCGCGGCCTCGCCACGACGCCACCGCTCGCCACCTCTAGCGCAACCGCAGCACCGCCCACCACTCGCCGGATTCTTCTACTTCATGCCACACGGCCCACACCACTGCTTCGCAACTACCAGGTTCAACTCGTCTTCTCAATTCTCAAACTTCTCACCCTTTGTTCAATACTTCAATTTGTTTGCTTAATTTGCTCAATTTTCGTCTGCTCGTTCACCTAATTTTTTCCTAATTTGATTTTGCCATAAATCTTAATTTCCCTAATTTTCTTTGTTGAATTGGTGAATTGCAGAGTTAGCTATGGTGTATTTCTGTATTGGTTTAGGGTTTAATAGGAATTATGTGGTTTAATTTGCAGTGTTGATAGTGTTGATTGTTAGGCAAAATAGGCATTTACTCATTCAACATAATTCTGTGACTCTGTGAGGAAAAATAGGAAAAATAGGCATTTTGTTGGAGATTGGAGAATGGCCAAGAAAAACCAACAAACCCATAAGCGATCGTCGAGTAGTAGGACATGCAGTCCAATCCGAATCACACCATCCATGTAGCGTTAGATCAGTGTCTACTCATAGGAGAATCCCTTGACCTGGTGTACCTTTCAAATAACGGACAACTCTCAAAGCTGCCTCCCAGTGCTCATCATATGGTTCTTGCATGAATTGAGACAACACATGAACAGAGTATGCGAGATCCGTTCGAGTTACGGCCAAGTAGATAAGTCTTCCAACTAGACATCGATAAGCTACAAGATTAGAGAAAATTGGGCCACTAGCTAGGCCGAGTTTGTGGTTTTGCTCAATAGGAACACTAACCGGCTTGGCCCCAACAATCTTGCTTCAGAAATAATATCAAGGGTATATTTCCTTTGACACAAAAATAGTCCACAAGCGCTAGATATGAGCAACCTCAATACCAAGAAAGTACTTTAGAGTGTCGAGATCTTTCATATGAAAACAATCACTGAGATAAGCCTTAAATGTCTTTAGAGCAGCAGAATCATTCCTAGAAATGATGAGATCATCGACATAAACAAGTACATTTATCTTAATTCAACCCCGAGTAAAGTTAATAAGGAGTAGTCGGAATAGGATTGTGAGAAACCATACCCTTTCAAGGCCGTAACAAGTTTTGCAAACCAGCACCACGGTGCCTGCTTTAATCCATACAAGGACTTGCGCAATCGACACACTAATTTAGGATCGGATGCCTCAAAGCCTGGGGGAAGCTTCATATACACCTATTCATCGAGATTACCGTGCAGAAAAGCATTGTGCACATCCATTTGATGTAGTTCCCAATTTTTAGATGCTGCAATGGCAAGAAATGCACGAACAGTAGTCATTTTGGCAACAGGAGCAAAAGTTTCAATGTAATCGATGCCTTCTTCCTGATGATTACCAAGAGCCACTAATCTTGATTTGAGTCTTTCAATCGACCCATTTGAGTTATATTTGATTCGATACACCCAATGACTCCCAAGAGCCTTTTTCCCAGGTGGGAGATGTTCAAGAGTCCAAGTTTGATTATCTTCGAGGGCCCGAATATCATCTGTCATAGATTCTTTCCGGCCACTATGTGTCATCGCCTGCTTAAAAGATTTTGGTTCTTTTTCAGAAAGAATTACTGCGAGAAAAGTTCTGTATGGCAGAGAAAATTGTCACAATTTATATAATGTGCTAAAGGATAGGGAGTACCTGAGGGTGACTGTGGAGACGGTGTGACGGAGGATGAACTTTTAGCAACAGTAAAATTAATAACATAGTCGCGCAACCACACTGAAGGAACTTTATTTCTGTAACACCCCACTTTTCTAGCTCTTAATTACAACTCTAAACAATCATTTACATAACTAAGCAACAGAAATAATAACTAAAAAGATAATTAGTGGGAGTGTCACCGCCACAACCGCCACCCCGTAGTGATTTCATAGACTAAGGGGTAAGACTAGAAATAAGATAAAAATCTGGCATCCAAATAAAATACTGGAAACGTAAGTGGGGAAAACGTCACCCCAATAGTCTACATCATCATCAAAAACATAGAGTCAATAAGTCAAAAATTCATAACATGATCATCAATAAATCTAGAGTTTAGACATCTCAAACTAAGGGGGGTGTATTCAATCATGACTTTTGTAGAGTTTTAAAGACTTTTAAAATGATAGATTTTAATAAACTTTGATGGACTTTCATAGAGTCATTCAAAACTTTTTAAAACTTAAGACTCTATAAAAGTCTACTTATAAAAGTCTATATAAAAAACATTCATAGACTTTTATCAACTTTTTATTTTAAAAAGTCTACAAAAGTCATTGAAATTCTAAAATGAATACATCCTTACAAACTTTCAATGATTTTAATTTTTATCATTTATAATTTTCTTACAAAACATTTATAATATATCATAAAATTTTCTTATTATGTAGTTCTTCACCCACATCAACATTCTCAACATTATTATTTGTATCCATAGTATGTTGAGACTTATATGTTAATTATTACTTTTATATATATATATATATATATATATATATATATATATATATATATATATATATGTGTGTGTGTGTGTGTGTATTCAAATGAGGACAAGTATATTATAGAGGACTGTGAGGACAGATTTAGTGTGTGCCATTAGCAGGTATGTCGTGTGCATGACCGAATGTAGTCGTGTGCCACAGTTTGTATGTCGCGCGCTAGATTTGTTAATTTATAGAGCCTGGTTTCGAAACCTGATGTTTACATTTATTCTTGTGTGCCATTATGTATTAAGTTGTGTGTCTGGTATAAATTTGTTGTGTGCCCATTATTTGTCCTCACAGTCCTCTATATATTGTTGTCCTCATTTGAACTCAACCCTATATATATATATATATATATATATATATATATATATATATATATATATATATATATATATATATATATATATATATATATATATATATACTTGATATATTGCTAGCCATCACGCAAAGAACTGTTATTTGTAATAACAATTTGAGACTACGAACAACAACAAGGTGTTACTGTTTGCAATCCCAAATTGTTGTTGCGAACAGTAGTTCGCTATTTGTAGTAACTTGTTGTTAAAAAAAGAAAAGAAAATATATATTACGAATATAAACATAAAAAGAATAAAAATGAAAATATATAAGTATTTATATGAATATTATGAAACATATACTACAATTTGATGATGAAAAGTTTACTTTGTTCATGTTTAGAGAAAGTTAGGGATAAAAAATTCATATAAAAAATAAAAATTAATATAAACAAGAAATAATGAAGTAAAAATAATATTATTTCGAATTTTTAGAGGAAGATTGTAAAGTTTAGGAGAGAGAGAAAAATTGGTAGAGTTTAGGTATGAGGAAAATATAGGATAATGAAGAAAAAAAATAGATTTATTAAATTTAGATAGGTTTATAAAGTTTAAATTGGGAGAAAAAATAGAGCTTAAATAGAGAGAGAAAACATTCAAAGTTGTTAGAAAGAAAATTTTGAAATATGGGGGTTGATGGTTGGATTTCAACTATTTATATTTGAGAAGAAAAAGTCTATAAAAGTCTTAAAATTAAAAAGTCTACAAAGTTCATAACTTTTTGAATACCACGTGACTTTTAAAGACTCTAAAAGTCTTTATCGAATACCACACGACTTTTAAAGACTCTTTTAAAAATCTTGATTGAATACCTCCTGACTTTTAAAGACTCTCTAAAAGTTTGAATTGAATACCCCCAAACTTTTAAAGTTCATAAAAGTCTTTAAAACTCTATGAAAGCCATGATTGAATGCACCCCCCTAAGAGACTAATCTAACTCGATCTCTTCTCATTGCTGGGCCAACCTGAAAGGGGTTTTGCAAGCAACACATAGACAAATAGGAAAACATGCACCCGTTAGCACGAAGCTAAGTATAACCACACTCAACCCTGTAAAGCATTCTAGCATTTACTTTGAAAACATTTGCTTTCTTTATAAACAAGAAACTCATCTCAAACCATCTTTATATCTAACACATACTTTCTAGATGCTTGCACCCTATTATATCAGCTGGCATGCTCATATATATATAAGACTGTTCACTTAAATTCATCAGCATATAAACTTCTCAAATAACTTAACAAGCAATTCATGCTTACAGATAGGATCATGCTAATAAACCATATAACAGGTATTCTCATGCTTTCATATTCTCTTCTCATAATTCTATAAACAAGACTTCTAATAAAACAAAAAGATTATAAATCAACATTCTCATTATGTACTCTCATGCGATACTTTACTCAAATGCAATCTTATACAATGCTATAATCATACTCATGTGCAATCTTGTGCAAAGCTGTAATCATATGGAATCTCGTGCAATACTATAGTCATACTCATATGCAATCTCGTGCAACACTTATACATCATACTCACATGCAATCTAGTGCAATACTATAAACATACTCATATGCAATCTCATGCAACAATATATTCATACTCTTATGCAATCTCGTGCAATAATATAAACATACTCATATGCAATCTCGTGCAACAATATACTCGTACTCATATGCAATCTCGTGCAATACTATAAACATACTCATATGCAATCTCGTGCAACACTTATACATCATACTCATGCAATCACGTGCAATACTATAAACATACTCATATACAATCTCGTGCAACAATATACTCATACTTATATGCAATCTCGTGCAATAATATATATATATATATATATATATATATATATATATATATATATATATATATATATATATATATACTCAATCACTCATTATAAAAATAGAGTACTTTCTGTGGAGGTCTCTTTCTTACTTTTGAGTCTCTCTTGACTCGCTTTCTTTCTCTTGAATCTCTTTTGACTCGCTTTCTTTCTCTTGAGTCTCTTTTGACTCGCTTTCTTTCTCTTGAGTCTCTTTTGACTCTCTTCTTTCTTTTCCTCGTAGACAGCTTAGGGTTTCACCGATGCGTGAATTACCCTATCGGGAACGGCATAAATCCGACCCAATATCTCCTACCATCTACGGAACCAATCTCGTGGTTCTATATCTGTGGAATCAGGTATCGAACTATTAGTGTGCACACCCTACTACTTCTCAATGCATCAAAGAATGATATACATATATCTCTCATGCATGCAACAACTCTACTACTTCTCAATGCATCAAAGAATGATATACCACATGCTTATGGTTTTTGAAAGTATTCTTGGGGTCACGTTGACCCCTTATGCATTTTTGAAATATGACAAATGTGAAATGTCAAAATGCTCTATAACATGCTTCTAAATCATGTATAAAATAACATGAAACACTTAAGAATATAACGTCATGCTCGGTTTGCAACATAGCAAATTCTATACATTCTATCAACAAAATATTCTTCATTTCTCATTAATTAAATATCACAATCTAGTCATGCTTTTATAATAAATCATATTCTCAAATGATCATGCTTCTTTACTCAATAAAAACATCATCAAATCACATAGTCAAACAATTCTTCATACACAGTAAACTAGCAAATATATACTCTGTGTAGCAATTTTTCAATAAAACCTTCATAACATACTCGTTTTTAATCCAAATTCAACGAAATCAAAGCCAAAACGTGTGTCGAGACGGTCCCGAAGAGTCGAGGCACAAGGGCCCATAACACTCGACCCGAAACGACACGTAGCTGAGCCACAAGGGCCCGACCACTGCACAGATTCTTCTCAGAATCAAAGTCAGGGACTTGGGGCGGGATTCCTCATGGTCTGCCCCATGTACCCCGCTACTCCACCGGGACTAGGCGGCGGCCCTCCTCTAGGGCCGTGCTCTAGTCCCATGCAACCACAACTCTAGCCGGCGGCCCTCCTGATGGGCCGCAGCTAGGGCCGTTAGTCTGATCTGACACATTGTGTGTGCACCAGAAGGCTTTCTCATCTACAAAACTCAATCCAAACAAGTCCAAAACAATCTCAACAATTCACAAACAAATATTGGATCACTTCTATGCATAAACACAATAAAATCTCATAGATTCTACTCATTTCTACTCAATACTAAGGCTTCACAGGGCCAAATTTCAAGAAGAAAACCATGGGGTTATACACTTTATAGATCAAAAGTTCTTGGTAAAATCTTTATAGGGATACATGGTATTTCCCAAAATATACGATGTTACTAACTAAGTATTTTTAGGAAAATAGTAGAATAAGTTCCAAATATCTTTGTGATCAAATATATATCTCATACATAGTTATATATGTATATATATATTCTCAAAATCAAGTATAACATTCTCCAAAACATATATACTCATATATATAATTCTTGAAATAGAGCTTTCTTGACAAATCATAGCTTTTGGTAGATCAAAATCCTTCTCAACATATTTATGATTTTCTTAGGAAAATACTTTTATAAATAAATAATCCTTCAAGTCCAAATAATATAATATATACTTCAAGATAATTACTTAAAGGTTAAAGTAGCTCAAGTGGAAGGGATTCTAATTAATAATAATCAAGAGGTAAGGGGTTCAATCCATCTTTAAACAATTTTCTAGAGTATAACATGGCATAGAATAAAATAACACAAAGATTACTACCCTGGGATTCGATCCCAGGCATAACGAGCACCACAATGGTGGTTCTCTAAGCCCTGCAGTTTGGTTGGTGGGCCTTCGTAGCGGATCTCTTGAGATCCGCTACTAAGTCCCGTGGGCAGCGGATCTCTTGAGATCCGCTACTAAGTCCCGTGGGCTTGTTCCTGCTACTCTCTGTTAAGAGATCCCTCCGCTACTAAGTCCCGTGGGCTTGTTCTGCTACTCTCTGAACCCAGATCAGATACTCAAACTCCACAAAATTTCACAGCATATCCGCAACAACAAGCTTACATTTCATCATTTTAAACACCCAAAATACAAATATCCACACACTTGAACCACTAAATCATATACTTAGGGCAAAATAATAAGTTTGGGAATCCATGGGTTATATCTTGAGCACCCTTGATCTAGCCAACACCATTACTAAGCTCTTCTTCTTCACCCTTCATCTTCCTTCTCCAAACCAAAACATAGCAACAACTTCACCATTTCCACTTACAAGCACACAAACAAACCCAGATTAATACATCATCTAACAACCTAGACTAGAAAATGGATTGGAATAAGAGAGGAGGAAGCTTACCAAATCTTGGACCTAGGTTTTGGAGAAGATGAGCTTTCAAGATGAAGAAGATGAAGATGATAGGGAGGAAGAGAGAGAGAGAGAGAGAGAGAGAGAGAGAGAGAGAGAGAGAGAGAGAGAGAGAGCTGCTGATTTTTGTGGAATGAATAGTGAAGTAAGGGAACAACATTATTCTTTATTGTTAGGGTTTTGAGTAGGGCTGAGCATCGGTCGGATTCGGACGGATCGGATGTCCAATCCGTCCATCCGATCGGATTTCGGATTTCTTTTGTACCCCCCTATCCGTTTATTTTTTTGGACAGATCCTATCGGATTGCTTAGGTTCGGATTTCGGATATCCGTTGTCGGATTTTGGATTGAAATCGGATATAATAAATTAAAATAAAACAAATTCTAAATTCAAAAAATTCTAAAATAGATAATAGTAATACTGAGTTTCATTACCATAGCGTAGCAACTAGCAAAACATACTACTA